CACATGCTAACACAGCGACCCCCCGCGACTGTAATGTTCCATTAAAACTAAGGCATAAGATAAATTCCACTCGCTTATCAGCTCCAAAAGCGGAAACTCAAAAAAATAACTTATAACTTATGCATGATGTATTCTTACGCCCTGACACCGTGACATTTCAGCTCTTCGTATTGCCAAAATTGCTGTCTTACGCATACAAACCAAGGCAAAGGAACATGACTAACACCAAAAATGACACCATAAAGATATACGCGCATTATTTTTGAATACTTTTTTAATACATTTTTTTTTTTTGGTTAAGTTATATAAGCAATAGCGGAAACAATTTTATAATAATTTTATCATGCTCTTCCTAATCGTCATCGTCATCGTCATATTCATCACCTAAATCAGCTATGGCAACAGCATTATCAACAGTTTTGCATTAGTCTGTTACTTTTGTATCCTGAAGCTGCATCCATCCAATATTTCAGTCACAATTTGGTTGCTCATGCCGTGTAAACTTCAAATTGGATCAAATCAATTATTTTGAAATTCAAATTGACATTTCTGTCTTTATTTTTATGTTTTGACAACCGGCAAAGGCAAAATACTTTTCAAGGATGTCTAATGTTGTTATTTATTCGACGTTGACATCAAAGCGTAATAATGGTCGATTAAAAGCATTTGCACCAGTTATTTTCTTTAATAGTTGAAATATGTTACTTTCTTGAAAATACAATATGCTTATTTTTCTTGAACGAATATTTTTGAATAAATACAAAAATAATGCTCTTATATATTATATTATATATTATAGTTATAATATTGTTATGTTACATGATTTTAAATGAAATTATAATTATAATTGTATGTTAGTATTTAATATATACCATATATGTGACATATAAAACATGTATAGTAAATGTTCCAGAACTTTCGATACAAATTGTAAGTTGGAGATTATCTTTTAATCTTATACAATAAAATACTGAGCAACAAATGCGAGAACTAGTCTCAAATATAACTCAAACTAGAACTGAGGAAGACAGAAGAAAAACGAAACAATTGAATACTTTATTTACAAACACTTGTTCTTAACAAAAACATGTCCCTTGAAAATGGAATGTCGAAGGTAAGGTTCTTTGGCTTATAATGGTTTGAATGCTGAGAATTTTATATACAAGTGTGTGGTGAGAGGTTTTAATTCTGAGAATTTTATATACATGTGTGTGGTGAGAAAATTTACCAACAGACTATTTGAAAAGCCACCAAAAATGACACAACAAACTAGTCTCAAATATCTAGTATCATCATACTGATAACGATAACATCAAAGCCATCAAGCACACTAGATGTAGTCATAACTTCAACCACGGTTAAACTCCTTATACATATAAAGAAAATATTTTAAAGTAGTAAACTGAAAGTGTCATAAAGTGGCTACACCATAGGTATGAGATGCCGAATTCAGTTACTGACTGGTTATGCCGACTCTTCATTGCTCATACTAGTCTGCAAGTATAAATCGCAATTTCGAAAGTTGATAATTAATAGAAATATATTCAACTAGAAAGTTGGTAATAAATCTGAATTAAGAAACTAATCAGCATAGTTATTTTCCAATTAAACGATTTTACGAGTATGCTCGTTTTAAAATATCATCTATGTGACACTCTCTAATGTAGATTTCAATGGCAATCGCTTGTCAAATAAATCTAGTAAAGAATAAATATAAACAATGCGATACCTTATGGAAAGATATATTTTACGGAAAAAGGCATAAAATATTCATTTAAGCAATAAAATTTTTATAATTATAAACTTAATTGCAGACTATTATACAGTTTTGTCAAACTATTGGATATTTAAGTCAATTCTGGTTATTATGTTCATTTATCAGAAAATTTTCTATTTATTTAAACTATCGATTCAGTTATTAAAATTTTTTTTTAGGAACAGTGTAGTGAGCTACAACAACAATATTTATTTTTATATTATTTTCTTTAATTAATTGAATTTTTGACTGCCCATACAGCTGTTTCGAGTACCCATAATCAGTGCTTATGGAATTATTTTTTAATTTTAATTATTCATAAATAATTTTAGGGACTGTAAGTACTAGGAATCAAATTCGTGCCCTGTTAAATTTGAAGCTCAGAGTCAGCGCTCTGATTTATATTTCCCGAAAAGTAAATATTTTATTTTTTAATCTACATTACGTTGTATATAATGTAGCCAGTAATTAACAGTATATATTTAAGTGTTAAAGTAAGTTACATTACTAGCGTTGAGTTAAAATATCAAGAAGGTATAAATAAATTCTATAAAGCAAAGACTATTATTGAATATAGGAATACGCTTCAATATAAATGTATTGGTATTTTGAACCTTTAAATTTACATACTAGAATAATTTCCAGTAATACAATTTTTTCCCCGACTTTAAGGCTTTCATTAGATGTCAATGATTTTGAAATTTATTCAAAATGTAAAAATGTTTTAAAATATTGTTCAAGTCTTTTCAAGTTTCATTTTTAACAGTTTTGCCATTTAATGGCACTTGAATTTGTTGATGATAATTTTACAAAATATCAAGTTTGAGGTAAAAATCCTGATGGAAGATTTTGTCGCGTCTGTCATTATGCTTTGCTTAGCATTTTGTTTGCGTCTATGTCAAGTGCTGCTACGTGACATTACAACATCTTTCATGGATTTGAAAACGATTTTTTAGCCAATGTTATTTATTTATTCACAATAGGAGACAACAATGAATTTAACAGCAGTAAAATGTAGAAGACTAACAGCCAAAGCTAAATTCTAAATAAATATTATACAATCTACAGTTGCTCGGAACCGTGCTTAAAACTGAAAATTTTTTATTTGCTTATGTGCTTGAATAAAGAAAAATAAAGAAAATGAAAGAGAAATATGTTGTGGGTGTTTTATTTGTACTAAGTTTAAGCAGATGTAATGCTGGAAGGCAATGCAAATTAACTTAAAAAATGTATTGATAAATATATGGTACTATGACTGTTCATAAATATTTATTTTAAAACAATTAATATTATGAAAACATTTTTGTAATTTTGTAACAACATTGAAAGAAAATTATTATCGATTTGATATATAAGTACCAAATTTATATATAAACTCATCTTTTCTATATCGTGAAGCTTATAGTATTGTTAACATACATCACATGTACTAATTTTAAATTGAAATCAATATCAAAACCAATATTCTGCAACAATCAAAATGTTCACAGTTTTTTTTATATATATATTTTTTTTACTCGAGGTGATGTCTATTAGCATCTTTCTTTAATTTTATTGGTGGATCTGCTAGTGTCTTAAGAAAAAAGTGTGATGCGTCTAATATTTATATGTGGGTTAAGTATTTAATTTTTTATAGTATGCCTACTTCCATAGTTTTTTGTTGGGTTTTAGTGAAAAATAGGTTGGCAAAATATGAATTTTTTTTAGCTGGTGGGTATATATTATTCGCCACGGAGCGTTTACCATTGTTTATAACGGTATGTATTGGTAAGTTTGAAGTTTGTTGACCGCTGTTTTCTACATATGTTTTTCATATTCATGTAGCTGATTTAGACATCATGATTTTGTACATATAATAGCATACGGTTATTTTTACCTAACTTATTGAATTACTTTAATGCGTGCGATTACGTAGTACAAGCAGCGATTGTACAGCATTTACCCTAGATGTTTAGATTTGCTCTTCAAATTACTGAAGTTATTGTTGAGGAAGAACATATGCTATATCGTATGCGAATAGTCATAGCGATGTCGACTTCATTTTAGGTATGTCAGACGTGTATATATCGAAGGTTGGTGTTAAAAAAGGGGAGCATTGTAGCATAGGTATTACTCTACATTCCATGAGTTACTAATGTACGGTCTTCTAACATACCAAAATATTTATAAGTTAAAGGAGAATGTGAAAGTATTTTATTTGGATACTAACTCCACATATTTGACAGGGTATTTAACACTCATAATTTCTTATTTGGCCATAACAAACCGTTATAGTGTTTTGGCCATATGCAGCATGTCTCTCCAGACACCTCTGTTGCGTGTACGCTTTCTTCAATCTTATACATCAAGTCTGGTTAGTGCTCCGTCAACTTGCTCATTCCACCGGAGAGACGGTCTACCTCTACACCTCCTTTCACCAACTACTGATTCAAACACCTTTTCGTTGAAGCATCTTCATCCATTCTCACGTCATGACCAAGTCAGTGAAACCGCTAAATGTTAATTCGTTGAATTATATCAATATCGCGATAAAGCTGGTAAAGCCCGTGGTTCATTCGGATTCGGTATCCGCCACCAACTTGTGCAAAAAAATTTTTCTTGAAAATTACTAATGCTACTTTCTGTGACAGTGTCCATGCTTCTGCGCAATACAGAAGATCCTTTTTTCATTAAGGTGAAGCAGGGAAAATATTGATGGATTAGACCTACATGGAAAGTGTATGAAGAAACACTATACGTGACTTCTATATGGAAACTTTCGCTGTTATACATCGCAAATAACTTGCCAGAAGACTAACAGAGTCTGTAAAATCGTTGAACAAACCGATGAACCTAGACCTGCGCATGCATTGTTTGATCCCTAAGCTTCTAATGGAGTATGTAAAGGAGTAAACTTACTGTTTTTTTGATAAATCTATAGTATGCTTAGCTTGAAAATATAAAACTATGATTAAATAAAACACTAATAAAGATACGATGTTTATGTATTCATTCCACTAGCGTTCGGTAAATATTTGCGAATATACCAAACGAATAATCACTGCACATCACATAAGTGTACAATATATATTGAAATTTATATTCGTACTACAGCTATTCTGTCTGTAACACATAAAATTTTATGATTTTATTTTCAATTTTTATATATATATATTTATGTAACATAACTGATACTTTCACACTAATGGCTAATAACTTTGATTAAGCAATCCAAACACAGCTCACATAAATTGAACAACTTAATCTAATTTTTATTTGCAGAGCTAGATTCTGATATCTGCAAGTTAAAAGCTATAATACATTAAATATTTAAATTTGATTTAGTTATTGCATAACGAAAATGCTTCATAAGCCGCATCCTTTTCCAGTACTGATAATGTCGCTGCATTAAGTAAGCTTCATCACGTCGCTTACTTATCTTGTATTGCTATAACTGCTAACATCACTCGGCTTAATACATATAAATTTTATATGAGTATGTACTATATATGCATGTATGTTAGCTGCCCATGGCAGCCTTACAAAATGATATACATTTTGTTCACTAAGCTGCCATTCATAATTTTGTCTTTGGAAGTCACATGCACAGACAACTACACGTAAATAAAGTCACATATGAGTAACCCTTGCAACCAAGCAGCTACTTTACGCCCGTTCACCAAAGCTAATGTATGTTTCGTGCTGTGAAAATCCACCCACAAACTGTCTATCAAACTTAAGTAAAATGACATACATCTCATATATCCCTGTAGCTGGAACATTAAATGTGTATGTACTTTCTTGCAATTATGCTGCATCCATCAGTTGGTGCGGCTTTAAACTTACCTGAACAATGTCGCCCTGATCATGTCCGGATGCCGTGAATGTCAAGTGGCAAAGAAACGGCAGCTTATTCCACTGCGGTGTTGGTACCTTTATAGAATATGTTCTGCCGATGTCACCGTAATAAGTACGGTTGCATACTAAAATTATACAGAGAAAAACAAAAATGTTAAAGTCAAGCGCAGAGCAATTTTTCTTTTTAAAAACAAATACTAAAAATTACAACAACCAAACACATATAAAAAGTGTATACGAAAATATGTATTTTTTTTTTGAAAAACCTAGAAATTTGTTGGAAAATTGAGAATAATGTTAATAATAACACTAAAGAATAATTTGCATAACATTTTAAATATTCCAGCCACGTCATACCAAGCACGAAAAATGAGCAAAGTTTCATGCACTCAAAGGTGCATTTTATCTTAAATCGTATCAGAGCGTAGAAGCTAATTTTCGTATGTAAAGTAAGCAGCTTAATCATATTTTGCTGTATTTAATATGTTGGCAGTACAAAATTTAAATCGGATGTAAGTTTAAATCTTAGCAAACTGTATTACGTAGAAAATTGTAAAGTTTTCCATAAGGAGTTAAGTTTCTTCAAGCATTAAGCGCATTTTTACTTTGTTAAAGTAAATACTTTTAATTATATATTTAAGAGCTTTTAAGATACTCGACAGATGCCGTCGAAATGCTTTGATGGTAGTTATATTTATTTACTACCACTATATGTGTTTTATTCAAACATTTGTTAAAACTGCAATTTATGATCAATCCTAGTCTTATATAGTGTATATACATATCAACCGGAGAGCAACCACAAAACTGTCATTTTTAACATTACAGAAGTAAAGGTATTATGGTATAGAGTAATTGCTTAATATTTCTAATATTTCTATCGTTACAAAACGGATTTACATATTTTCCGCACTGATTAATTACGATTTCAACGAAATAATCATTTCTAACATAAATACAAACGTCATAATTCAATATTGTCATATGGAATGCATCGGAAGTAGGTTCTAATTGTTCATTTTAATCATTGCAGCATTAAAGATGCTGAACAGTCAGAATGTCGAAATAAAGTAACAACTTAAGTTATGTTCCACGACATGATGACAGATCACCAAATAAAGATACACAGTATAATATTTTATATAAGCATTTGCATATAAAATAGTCGTGAGTAAAATGGCAGCACAGTCTCACATCGGATCAAAAACAATCCGCATAATTATGTCCAAGTATATCTGCAAATTTTTCAATTTAATTCAACAACGCTATTTCGTCGATTTACAGCTGTAAGAAAATATATACTGCAATACTCTGATAACTCAAGAGCAACCAAAAGAGAAAGTCACTCCTAATAAACAAGTTGCAACAAATCTAAAGGACATTTCATTAGCAGAAAAGATTATGCACATAACTTAATCATATTTGGCCACCTTAATGAAAGAAAACAATAATAGGGTAATATTGTGCGAAACTTTTAGAGCATTTATGAATATGGTAAACTAAAAGAATAAACAATTTGCTATACCATAAGAATGAAAGAACCTGCAATTCGTCAGCATTGCAATATAAAAACAATGCAACTTTTTTACAAAAATAAAAAAAAACATTAAAAACAGTTAATCAAATCGTGAATTAATCTATCGCTTATAGGAAATGCTATTATCCAATGAGGGGGCAGGATGTTTTGCTCCATGTGTGTACCCTTAGATAGAAATAGTTGGTGAGTTTTGGTGGTGAGGAACACCTGAACGGAATGAATATTTAGTAATCTAAAATAAACTTGAGTAATGATTTTTCTTGAACTTTTCTTAATTTTGTTTTAAAATTTTATTTGCCTACACATTAATAATTTGATTTGTTATATCCATACTATGATATTTAAAAGCTTGCATATATTTAAAACAATACTTTAAACCAAAAAAACTGAAAAAATTAGTTTACTGCTGGAAAGAATTAATGCACTCCAAATTGCTTAGAGTTTTAACCACATATTTTACATATTTTTCAAAAAGTACTCGGATTTTGTATAGAAAACACACAAATTTTAATTTTATTCCAAATTTATTTTATCTCCTTCAAAATATGCTCCTTCTAAAGCGATACACATATGCCAACGCTTAACCCAATCTTCCATACACTTTTCGTAGGCCCGTGAAGGTATGGCTTTTAGTTCGTTCAGCGAATTCTCTTTTACCGATTTGAGACAGAAAGAACTCGCACGGATCTAGATCTGCGAATATGGTGCTTGAGCAATGGACAGTGGTGCCTTACTTTGGTCAAAAAATCCGCATACAACAAGAATTTTCCATAGTAAAAATCGCTAAATGTACTTGAGGTAGTCTCACATTAACAGCTGCTGTAAACAAACTAATTGACAGATGGTGCTCAAATTTGTACCATATGTTAAGAAAGGGTGTACCAACATAACAAAAAAAAATTTTTGAAAAGGAGTAGTTAACAAACAACAAAATCCGGAGCAGAAGGTACATATATATTTTCATATCTCCTAACACTTATTTTCACAACTATAGAATTCTCAGCATTATCTTTTAAGGTCATTAAGTCATGTGATAAAAATAATTAATATTGTTGAAAAAAAAATTTATATACTAGTTTCTATTAAATATAATAATCACTATAGTCTGAAAAATTTGACCTTAAATTACAACTTATATTCGCAGAATATTGGTTTCGCCTGTGCGACTCCTGGAGTAACATTAGCATGACTTTCTTAGTATTATGTTCCTAGATTAGGTGTTATTCCGAAGAAAGAATATATAAATCATGCGACAAATAATGCCTCCACAAACAGAATAGTATTGAAATTTAACAATTAAATGTAAAAAAATTCAATTATTCTACAGCTGGTTTATGATTTCGTTCTAATATAAATACAGCAAGTGAATTTTTGAATAAAACTTCGCAGCAAAGTAACAAAGCTTCAGAAAAAAGTGCAAGCCATACAAGTTAAGTATGGCTTTGGGTTAGTTGGTTAATAAAAATTGGCTCTGAGTTTCAAATTTGGCAGGACACGAGTTCGATTCCAGGTACTTACAATCTCAAAAAATTATTTACGAATAATTAAATACAAAAATTATTATGTTATTTTAATTAATTAAAATTTAATTAAATTTTAATTAAATTTTTGGCTGACCATACAGCTGTTTCGAGTATTGCCAAATATTCATCATCAGTGGTCTTGATTTTCATAATATAAAAAAAACTGAAATATTTAGTAAATTTAAGGTTTTAATTTCAAATAAAGAAATTTAATAATATGTATAAAACTTTCAAAGAACAAAGTTTTTTTAATTTCAAAAGTTTAATTTCAAATTTAAACTCACAACAGCCTCGCCTTTGTTTCCTTTGTACTAGGAAAATTATCACGCTTCTTGACAGATCTTTTGTAGATTGATTTGAACGTTGTTGCTATTGTTTGAAAGTCAAAATGTACAAATATGTGGTTATGTAAATATTTTTATAAATTTTTACTCGTTAAAATGTAAGCAAATATTGCCTTTCCTGCTGTGTGCTATTAAAAGACACTTCTCCTGTTAAAAAACATAAAATGGAAATAAAACAGAAAAGTGTTTCGGTTTTTTAAATAATTGGAGCAATTTTGATGGCAAAACAAAAATAAACTTACAATAAATTCTGTTCATTCAAAGATGCCTGACGCTGTTGTGGGTTACTACTTGTCGTGCAAATTTCTGTTTCTGGATCCTTAACCGTTGCGTTTAATGACTTTATTTTGTACCATGAACTGGCAACTTATTTATGTGCACAGTCAAATCAAAGCTCATTCATGCAAAAGCAAAGTATACAATATCCCAACAATAATCTTAACACAGACGCGAAACTCACCACAATTTTAATATTGCTGACGCCTACAGGCATAACTCTTAACTCCTTTCTTATAATGTCTATCTACACGCTCAAAAGAAATAAGAAAGTCGAGTAAATATTTGACACTTTTGTTGTCTTTCTTCGGAATTCAAATAACTTCATGCGAAAGCATCATTATTATCACACTGAAAGACGGTATTATCAAAACACTGGAAAAGGAACAGCGAAACCGTGTAGCAAATTTGCAAATACCACAAAGTCAACTTACATGTGAATATATACAAGTCTTAATATTTCTTAAGCTGCAGATTGGATTGTTGTAGCGGAATATAAATGTTTTTATTTGAATTTGTATTTAACTTACCCGAGCAGTGCTTTGGTTCATCGCTGCCATCCTCGCAGTCATTTCTGCCATCGCAATATTTGTCCATTGGCACACAAATGCTCCGACTTCCTTTACAAGGAAACTCCGACACTCTACAAGCAATACTTAGTGCAATCGCCAACTGTGCTAGAAGCAGCGTAGACCAAATTCTTCTATTCGTGGTATACATCTGTAAGAGAAAATTGAAAAATAAAATGTCTATTTAAAATTCTTTTATGGAGTTCATATAAATGGAGAACAGCGGATATATCTTAATAAGGAAGGAATTAGTTTATAAAGAAAATGAATGCATAATTATAAAAAAAAAATGTTATCTTATTTTGAGATTGTAATATTGGTAATTAAAATGAAATTGACTTTTTTTATTTAAAGAAAATATTATAAAAATATCTGCTTCTAAGGATTATAATGCAAGTATCATAAGGTAGACGATGATATTATTATTTGAAACCAATTTAGTCATAACATATATATGTACTTTTTGTATATCTTATTAAAAAACGTTTTGATAGCCAATTATAGCTCATTTAAACATACATAGATAAATATTTATATTAATAGCATTAACAGCCGCAAAGTACCAGCTAACATTGTCTACCGAAAAGTTTGACATTATTAACCACTGTCTTAGGAAAGACTGCATCTTTGAAAAACTGGTCTCTCTTAACACGGTAGACATTTACACAGACGTCTCCTACATAGATGGTTGGTTGATTTGGTCTAATTTAGACAAAAAATCGCACTAGTTAACTAATTCAACTGACGGGCCACTGCGATATAGGAAAGCATGCTATAAGACTGGGTCTACCCTAAAATGACTGTTGTCGTGGTTGTTACTCTGAGAATCAGGAGGACACCATGTTCCATTTCATGTGTTAGTAATCGCGTTTAGCTAAGATAAGATCAAAAGTCTTGGGGACCTCTTTCCTTACCGACCTTACTGAGTTGTCATCCTGTAATATTAGGGACGTAGCCAAATTCATAGAACTGTCAGATTGGTTTTCCTTTACCTAATGGGGAAGTCGTTGTTTTTTCGGCGTTGATCTTTCAATCTATGTACCTACCAATGCTATTCCTGTAGTACCACAAGGGGCCATTATTTGACCTCAAGTGGTCTTTTTGGAATCAGCAACTATTTTTAAATTTTTACGAAGCCGTTAAAAGCGGAATGGATCAAACTACTTGAAATAAATTATGTGATTCGGTTATTTCAAATTGCTATTATACATACTTATGATCAACATTTGTATACATTCGATAATATTTCTGATATATATAACAATATATATATACATATATATAAAATATATTATATATATAAAATATAGGTTCGTTCTAACCTTCAAACTGAATTTTGTAAGGAAAAAACAACTTAATTTCGCTAAAATGAAGATGCAATAAAGATGTGTCTCAACATAGATTACGTTTTATATTATAACAATTTTTAAGCCCACGTAATTTGTGATAGCTATTGATTGCATTTTCACCCTGCACATATTACAGCTCTATCATAATAATCCCTATTATGATATAAATTAAAAAATGCTTAGTAGAGGGATTTATTTCCATTTTGTTTTTATCCAATAACATTTGCCGTTATATTAATTTCTTTTATAGCGGTGATTGATTTATAAAAAAAGTGAATAAAATAATTTTAATCATGATAAAAGTAACTGGAAACACAGATATATTAAATTAATTCACATTAACTTCAAAGAAGTATAGCTTTTATATTTCGTTATACATAAACTATATGAGAATTATAAATAAATAAACTAAGCAAGTACATAGTAAATTATATAATACAAATTTTGAAATATTCAACAATTTATAGCAGTTTGAACTGATTCAGTATTCGCACTGTGATGCAAAACTAATACTCGCTTAGTCTGCAGTATTTGATGCAAGTCCATATATATATTAGTCAAAAAATTAATTAATTTGAATAATACAAAAAGCAATACGCGTACCTTAAGTGTTGGAAAAAAATTTCGATTTTTCTAATTAATATTATTAGTTCTATGATTAAAGGAAGTCATATTGCTATGAAAAGGAGGGCTTAACGGGCTGAAGGTTCTTTAAATCTGTTATATACAGGTCTTATATAAATTAAAAAAAAAAAATTTTTTTTTTGTAGCTCTTTATTTTATCGCTTCTTAATTAATATTAATCGTAATAATAAGCACTACTCATTTTGCGCATATGCACCAGCATTACGATATACAAGTTGAAATACGAGCCTGTTTGAAATTATTTCCCTAGTAATTACTTTTCTAATCATTAGATAGATAAAATATTTAAATGTTAATAAATATAGTACTCTTTCATATACATGGGAATTTAATTGCCTTTTACACTTACACTTAATTTGAAGAAAATTTAAGTATGTTCATTATTAGTATAAATCTTTGTGTCTTTATTATTATTTAATTATATTTAAGTATATTTTTATTTAAAGTACTGTATTATAAAATACATGCTTCTTATTTCTTTTTAAAAATGTGATTCCTTAATATTCAAATAGGTTTGAGAAAATTTTTGAATATACGAATTTATGTTTGATTCTTATCCACAAATATTTATTTTATATATTTTTTATAATCTTTTCCCCCATCATTATTTTCTGAACACTGTCAACAACACGAACAGGTACAAGCATCCTTTTCACTTGTAGTTATATCCTTACCGGTATTTCCAACCTATATTGTATTTTAGTCATTTTTAAGTGTTTACATCACTTCCGGTATGTAATGGAAAACAAAAGGCTTAAAAGGATTCATAAAAGGATTCGAACAATCAAGTGCGATTGAAGCACTTTTTCCTTTTCTCATTGTTTCGCTAAGCTTATGACTTGCGTGCGTATGTCTTTCAGTCAGTTTTTTTGCTGAATGCCATTACAATAGCATTAACAATATCCTTTGCGTATCCATTTATCTCGTGCACAATACTGTAATGCAAACAGCAATAATAACAATAATAAAAATAATAAAAAAAGTTTAAAAGTAAAAATATTGTTTTATAATACTTTATTTTGCCTTGAGTTTAAAATTTGCAAGTAAGAAATGTACGAGTATAAGTTGCGCTTTTATTTACAACAACAGTAAGAACAATGTTAACACTTTAAACACTTTGATTCGATTATCCTTACATTATATACAGTACGACGGCAACAACGAGCGTCGCTTTGTCTGACCTAATGATGCACGCAAATGCTGCTTCTGCACAATACAACTGAAAAATAATACTATATAAGGCACTTGGTTTTTTTATATTTTTATCTGTGTTTCTTATTGTAGTTTTTTACGCTTTATTTTTTATTACTATTTGTTCTTCAAGTATTTTTCCATTTTACTCAATCGTCCATTCATAACAATAAGTAAAACGGAAGCATAACGTTATTTCGTTTTGCCTCTAGACCGGATCTTAGCCTCCAGCTTATATCTAAATTGTCTATTCTGCATATACATCGAGAAAAAAATCATTTATGTTCGATAGATTTGCGTTAGAGAAACACAATTTTTTTTGCAAATTTGAATTTTCCTGTCGACAGGCAGGCAGTCACGCACATAATACTTACAAACTCACCTAAAATGTAGATGTTGTTCTGATATCGACTTATTATAATCTTTACGGCGCTGAACTTTCTTATACCCCAACCACAATTCCACCTGCAAACTTATGTTGCGGAGTATGTATTTGTGGTGATTACATAAGTTTCAATATTTTATTTCTTTAGATACGTACAATATTTTTCTTTGATTGGAGTATTTTGGATGCTGGTTGCTGCTTGGTGCTTGCTAGCTATGTGTCAGTCACGTACGACTTCATTGAAACAAATATCGAATGAATTTCGATTTCTATTTTCTTGAAACTTATGCTGATGTTGGCAAAACTTTAGCGTTCTATTATGAATTTTTTGCTACGTTTTATGAACGGCATATTTAATTTATATAAATTTTATTGTTATAATATTTAAGTTAATATTCTGAAAATGCAATAAAAATTGGATTACAAATATATTGTAAATGTGTGATAGTCTTTTAATTAGTACTTCAAACTGTATTAGAATTGTGCAAAACTTATACGCTCTTCACATAGCGTGAATTAATCTTAATTTATTGCTCAACTCGTTTCATTTTGGGATGTAAGACAGATGCTTGTTCTTTTCAACTTCTCGAACAACTTTCTTAGACTAGAAAGACTAAAGACACAGTCCAATACGGTTTTCGGCACCTAAAAAGGAACCAACTTAATATTACTACATTGTTGTAAGCGATCGCGCGTAAATTTCAAAAAACTAGAGAACTAAAATTGGAGTTAGTAATAAAATCAGAGTTGGTATTTGAAATTTAAAACTGATTATTGTTGAAATAAAATTTGAAATAGACAGTACTTCAGTTTAGTTAAAATTCTAAAAATAAATCATTTCAAGACAAACGTAAATTTTATGAATATTTTTAATAACAACTCTGCTTTTTATAGCAAATTTATATAGCTCTATAGCCAACTTGGCAAAAGCAACACAATCTAAACAAATGTGAAACGAATAGCAAACACTATTGTGGACTTCACCCACTGTGGACACTGTATCATGTTTTCATCCAAAAACTAGTGAGTAATGCACGATATTCTTCAATATCATTGTGGTTCATATCAAAGTTTATTCTGCTGACATAATTCACATTTTTTTTTGTGTATTTTAGGTCTTTTTATTATCAAATATAACTCAAAAAGGTGATTGCATACATACAGTAAAAATTCAGCTTTTAGAAGGAGGAAACCTCAAGTTTATCAAATGTGGAGTATTGACTATTTAGAAGCTTAGTTCTTCAGGACTTGGTTCAGCTAATGTTCAAGCAATTGTTTTTGTGTATGTTTTATAAAAATACAAATAAAATAAAATAAAAATAATATGAAATACTTATTTTTGAGCTGCTCGAACATCCTTTAAACAGATCAAAACAGCTTAAATATCTTCGAACAACTTTAACGTCTTAAAACATCTTGAACATTCTCGAACTTTCGAAAAGATCTAATGAAAGCATTATTAAGTTACTTAAACACGATGATGATTGAACTCCATAAAGCACTGCTTTTAACTAATCTATAGAGAAGTTTAATTATTATTTATTTAAATATCAAAAAATTTATTGCAGTCTCGAAAGTTTCAATATAATTCACGAACTTAAAGAGATGAATATAACTCTTTCGGAAACATACATATACTTTTATATACTCGTATATATATATTTAATACATAATTTTATATAGTTTAGTCAAGCGAAACTACCACGTTATCTTACGTTATCTTATTGTTTTTTCAGTTAAACTTCGCGATGCGTTATGCACAATATCAACATCGGAAATTTTTATGGCATACCCTAAATTTAATATAGATTCAATTTCATACTACGAGTATTATTGTATTCTTCTGTTTATTAAACTTATTCATGCTTGGTTTCTCTATGTGAATTTTTTTAGTTGGCTGCACATTTGTCATTTCCTTCATTTTGCTACGTGTTTAAGTCATACTACAAATAGTGATAGCGGCTTGGTTTTATTTTCAACTTTCGTGCACTTCAAATTAATTTCTTTTAAACATATTAAAAAATTTATAAATTCAGCAAAAACAAAAATAATTCAGAAGTTCACAAAAACATTTCTAAACTTTAAAATAGAATGAAAACATAAAAAATACATGACTCATTCTTATAAATTAACGACAAACGTATCAAGTCAGTGAACAATTTAATTAATTAAAAAGTATTCAAAAATTCTCAAAAAATTATTTACAAACAATTATATATAAGAAATAATTCTAAGACTAGTGATGATGCGTATTTGGCAATACTCGAAACAACTGTATGGTCAGCCGAAAATTCAATTAATTAAAATAATATAAAAGAATTCTCGTTGTTGAAGTTCACTACTTTTATAGACCTCTTTGATTAATAAAGCAACAAAATTTTTTTAATTATAATTTTTCTCACTATTTGTACTTTTAAATAAAGGAATATGGCATCTTAGTCAAGCACTACAATTACTGGAAGTTTTATATTACTGAAACTAAAGAGTTTAAAGACAAGTTCAATGTGCA